TTGTTCTAAGCCATACCACTGGGAACCCAGTAAGATTTACCCACCTGCTTCCACCCTTTTCTAGTCTTCCACTCTTTTTCCATCTGAAGCTAGGGAAGGGTGGCTGACGACAGGGCTTTGTGCTGAAGAAGTAGCAATCATGGCACCAATGCAGACGTCTCTCCATGAGAGACTGCTACACACAGGTGTCTGGGAGTAATAGTGCGTGCCCTGAGAAGTAACTTAATTGTACTGAGCCTGAATTTTGTGGTGGTGGGGTGCTGCAATTACCAGAGATAAGACGAACCACACTGGAAATGATATTTACAAACTTCTCCAGCTGAAAAGGTTTTAATCTATTTATAACACATTCTTGATTCATTCACCAAGAATTTTACAAAAAATATTGCATCCTGGATCAAGTAAGTGATGCAGGAAATCCATCTATATCAGTTAAAAATATTAAACAAATTGAATGAGAAGCGTACATACCTTCAGCTGTTTCCATGGGTGGGTAGGAAGTAAAAGGAAGGAATAGAGACATTTAGTTTCCGTTGTATGATTAAACAGGAAGAATTCTGACCCTGTTAAAACATAGTCTAAGGAAAAAAAATTTTAAACTGACAATCCCACCAGGTATCTTCAGTACTTTGCAATTCTACTTCTTCCCAATGCCACAACTCAGTGTAGATCAAACAGAAACAAAAAGGTCTTATGTGGGGCAGCAAAACTACAATTAATTATGCATACAACAAGAGCACTCTTAGGAATTGTTTTATTGGTCTGTCACGTCTACATTGCCACATGTTCCTTACTGGTTTTACTCCTTTGCAGTTTTCAAGGCATTTGCACCATTCTGTTAATACTGACTGGGTAATTCACTAATCCTACTTGTGAATCTAGACTCTAGGGTGTGTAAAAGTCATTTTCTTTTCTTATACAGCAGCAGTGTTTTGAGTACTTTCTCCTGTCTCTGCTCTGTACTTTCTATATACAGAGAGGATTTACTTGGGAAGAGGTTCAGAAAAGGACCTTTGTACTGCAGCTACCTGGAAAGGGAAAGCAAAGAGCTGAAGGTCGCTCTGAGTGGATGCCACTTCTGCCGGTTGTTTGGGTAAGTTTTTCCATCTTATGGAGTCCAGCTGGAAACTTAAAACTTGTTACACTGTACAGTGACTTGAATGTTAGATTAAACGTGGGTTTATGTCAGCATCCCATTATGACAGTTATGAAAAAGAATGCAAAGATTTTATCAGCAGAATTCCTAAAGAATTATTCCTAACTGAAGGGCACTTGGTAATTAATGGGTTTCAGGACTAAGCTCCAGTTGAAAGAAACACCCTTAACCTCCAGTAAGCATCTCTGTTATGCTAAACTGTCTTCAGTTAGCATGCCAGATTCGGGAGATGAGAAAGTTTTTCATCTAGAAGCTGCCCACACAGAGCCTGGAAGAAACTTTTAAGGGCATTAAGCAAATTCTGGGGAAAAAAATAATGGATGCTAATAGAAGAGATTGAAAAGCCTCACAAGAGGTTTGTCAGACCTGTTGAATGAGGGGCAGATGAGGATGGTCCGAACAACACGTAGAGATGAGGGTGGCTTTGGGGTGCACTGGGCAGATAGCATTTGCCTTACTTTGCTAAAGAGCAACAGAGTCATTTCGTTTGGTTAAACAAAGGGGCTGAACTGTCTGAAAGCAGCATCTTACGCAGCAAGGCATTAATGATTAGCCAAGTAGCAGAGGAGTTGAGAACAAATTGTGCACTTTCAATGTAATCGCTTCTCTTTCTGCAACAAATACAGATAGAATCTCCATCTTTTTACAAACTGAAATACTGTGCACGAGGAAGATCTCATGCAGATTTTCCCCTTTTGTGTAGAAAGATGTTACTGCATCTACCCTGAGCTTAAGTATGTGGAAAAATAGAGGAGAAAGTAATGTGAACTAAACAATATATCTGGATTATTAGATCAGAGATGCTTCTTGGGTTTAGACTTTCTCTATGTAGTATTTTATATAATTTTCTTAAAACAGACTTATTTTGAAGGTACAGTATTTTGACTGTACGATTCAGTAACGAAGGACAGTTTGATGGAAATGAGCTTTACAATGAAATGTAATTCAGTATAAACCATGCACAGGCAAGGTTTGGAAAATACATTTTATAGATCTGTGTTTAAAACTGTGTCCACACGAAAGCTTTTCTTTAAGGAAACATCAAAGGAACACTTGGCTTCTCAAATACAGTCAAATTGTGAAAACGACTATACCTTCAATGGGCTTATCAGCAATCCCATCCTGATTGTTAAGGTCTTCTGGCTTTGTTACCACCATGGATGTCAGTGGCGTTACAAACTTGTATTTCAGTGAGAGGTCCACCACTTCAGCTGTAAGATTCTCCTTTTCTTCTCCTGTAGCTGCAATACTGAATACAGGTAGAGACTCCTAGCACCAATGATTGCTAAGTTAATCACTGAACTCTCGATTAAATGATTTTTTTTAAAGTGAAGTCATATTTCTGCAGCTCATTTATCAATAAGAAATATTTGTTACAGTCTCAGAGCACTTCTGATTCCACTGGCTACCAGCGAAAAAGGCAAAACTGTGCTCTGTATTTGCAATCACCTAAAACGGTTTAATTTGCAACCTGAAACAGGAATCATGAGGTTGGGGAGGAGAATAAATTGGGCGATTTTCCTTATTGGTTTTTACACTTTCCCATCGGCGCCTCAGTGTGATATGAATTTCAGTTTCACAGCCTAAAAGTTGCCCCAGCCCGACGGCTTTAACAGGTTCAGAGCTAAGATGTTACTCTAGATAGAATTACCGTTTTTCCAGGAGTTGTTCAATGGTGAGATAAGCCCAGAGCCTTTCGATGTAATCTCCAAATATGTATTCCTGTCCTTGGAAAGCTTTATCTGTTTGCTCAGCATCTTGTTGTGTAGTATACGACAGGGCGTCATTGGCCTGTCGGAAATAAGGAAAATTCTCTGTATCATAAGTAGGGACTTGAGAACCTCCCAAACCCAAGACTTTCACATCTGAAAATCTTATGAAATTGAAAAACAGTCTGATCCTACACAACACTTGCCCAGCAAATTGTCAGTGTTGTATCAGGATCTTTGATCTAGTGCTGCTGTGAGGGTTAGCAGTGCACGCTGTAGGAAATAACACAGTTTCCAAATTCACATGGTATTTATGTTCATTAGAATTTGGCTACTCAGGTTTTAAAGAACTTTGATTATGACCCTGATTTCATGTTGGAACATGTTCAAGCAGATATGCTGGCTAACTTACTAATAATATGTTATTTATAGTTGGAATATAGTTAATTTCATATCATATATTTAATACACCACAGTGCATGGAGCATGCATGCAGCTCACAGTATTTATGTGACGTGATCCATTACATTTTTGTATTGTGTTTCTTGAATATCTGAGGCAAATATTTTTACAGAATCCAGATCTGGAGAGGTACTTAGATCATAGGTTGGTTTAGGCTGGAAGGGACCTTAAACCCCATCCAGTTCCACCCCCCCTGCCATGGACAGGGACACCTTCCACTAGACCAGGTTGCTCCAAGCCTCATCCAGCCTGGCCTTGAACACTTCCAGGGATGGGGCATCCACAGCTTCTCTGGGCAACCTGTCCCAGTGCCTCACCATATCACTTGGTTCATATTAGAAGTACACTTCTGCTTCTAGAGGAAGGCATTTCAAATATTCAGCTAGCTTATCCACCAGTTTTCTTCACCCACTGAGGAATAGCGCCTGTGAACACTGAAAAGTTGGCTCCTGAAACGACCAGGTAGGGTATTTAGAGACTAGACTAAAAAAAAAAAAAACAAACCATCTGTGAACACTGAAAATTTGGCTCCTGAAAGGACCAGGTAGGGTACTTAGAGATTAGACTAAAAAAAAAAAACACCTGTTAGCAAAGCTAATCCAGTCACACTGCATAAATAGCGAAGCTAATCCAGTCACACTGCATAAAGTTCTTCCAGACAGACCCTAGTCCACCTGACTGAGGTCAGCAACTTGCAGTTTGGCCCATTTGGAGTGTTTAGTTTCTCACATGTGCAGTAACACATCCTGTCACTGGGGTAAATACCAGGAAATATTTTAAGCATTGCCAGCTTTGAATATTCAGACATTTTGTGTAGCATGGAAATACTTTACTTAAGTCAAAGAAATGCATACTTACGCCTTCACCTCGCACGTCTACAGTCAAACTGTTCTGGCTGTTGTCTGTAAAGCGCCCAGCCACCACGATCTCAGACCCATCATAGAAATGCTTAAAACTGTTTTTAGTTAGGTCTGATATTTCATTTTCTGGGTAGTTTAACTCCACATCCATGAGCATGGGATTCGACACCTCATCATAAAACCCCTAGAAGAAAACAAGAAAAAAAAAGGAAAACATTTAACTGTCATTGCTTCTTTAATTCATAGGTAGATCTGCAGCCAGAAACATCCTGCTCTTTAAGCATTTAAAACTAAAAGTGTATTTTAGAAGAAATATTTAAATATTTGGTTAAAGCAGGTACAGAGTACAAGGCCTAAAAATCTACAAATAATGGAAATGAGAAAAGACATAGAAACTCTTCAGTCTCATTGAGAGAGAGGAAAAATATCTGAGAACAACTCAGATCTGAGATCAAGAGGGATCCCCATTTGACAGGGGAATATCTGAGAACAACGTGCAGTGGATGATGAGTTCCATCAATGTCAGTCAAGAGGGATCCCCATTTGACAGGGGTAAGTTTCTAGATGTTCCCTGCAGAGACTGAAATGACAACATATAAGCCAAAGGAGATTAGGTATTTGCTTTTGGCAGAGCTTGCAATTCAATCCAGTATCTAAATTCCTTGGTGAATTTTTTCGAATGACTGCTGTTGGAATGTAAGAAGTAAAAAAGGGTCAACCTTGTACTGCCTATAGCTGTTCTCGTGCCTTATGTGACTATAAAATGCTTCAGAAGTATGGGAAGAGACAGCTGCCTGCAGCACGTTCTGTAACACAGAATATCTAGAGCCTTTAAGGTCTGTCATCCTTCTCTTCCCCGGACATGACGTTAAGTACATGAGGTGTGGGAGATATAATGACTGCACACCCAAGTGTCCTTCAGAACCATGGTTTGTGTCACCCTAAACCAAGCTGTGAACGCTCTT